ATCCATATACGGACTCATGAAAGTTTTTTGCGGGTAAGTTGCTAAATCGGGAAACTAAAAACTTAGAAGGCTGGAATTTTAAGGGGATGCCCCCAGTCCACATAGGCCCTAGTGAATTCAAACCCAGCCGCCTGGTATGCCTTTTTCCCACAGAGTTTTTTGTCGATAATTTGCTAACTCGGGGGACTGGGAAACTGGAAAGCTGGGATTTTGAGGGGCTTTCCCCCGCCCACGTACAATCTAATGACTTCAGATCCAGCCCCCAGGTATGCGTTCTGCCCATGAAAACTTTTTGCGGGTAAGTTGCTAACTTGGGGATCTGACGAACTAGAAAGCTGTCATTTTAAGGGACTGTTTCCAGACAGCCCTTGTGGTCAGTCTCAATTCTCTTAGCTAGAAGATCTGCCAGAAAACAGTGCGGTTTGCGACAAAAATTGCGGGGAGCTGTGCAAAACACTCATCTTCGCACCAGCAGTCGGTCTGCTGGCCGTTTATTTATGATAGATTTATGGAGCTCGTGATAGATGCCGTAGACTGCTGCGCGCCTGTAGAATGCTCCCTTTTCTTTAATGTTAAAGGTTTGTCAAAAATTTCTGTGTTTGATTTATAATCTGCAGGTTCATTGCGATTGCTCTCAGTCAACCAATGTGCTTTCATCACGCTCTAGCCTTGTTACTCTAGACGTCATTCCGCCAATGCATCGGCAGGCTTGTTTTTTTTTTTTTCTGAATTTTGTAAAGATTTATTAAGAAACATTCGAAATCCTATTTTTTCTGTTTTCATTTAGAAAATCTGCTGTAATTTCTGATTGTTTATTTATTTGGTTGAAAACGACACTGCCAAGTGACTTTTTTATCGTAAATTTAACAAGTTTGTCAAAGTTTTTCGGGCTTGTTCCATTTACTCTTTACGCTTCAGGCGCACGAAATAAAAATTTCGCGAATTTTATGCCTGGGTGCTGCTTGTTTTTACAAAAAAAAAAACGTTGTTTTCGTGAAAGTAGGTGAAAATCGCAACATTTTTAAACTTATCATGCCGTATGCAGACGGAAGCTGCTGAGTTTAGAAACTGAAAGGAAGTTAAATGAAGGTGGCCACATATAGCAAGTGGATATT